GATACCGTTCCTGGCTGAAAAGCCATCATAGACCCGTGGTTTTATAACAAACGTACCAGATATAGCTTTGAAGACAAGGAACCAGCATTGCACACATAAATAAATATAAATAAATAATGCGGCTTCTGTTGGATTTTTGATGTCGGTATAGTTGGCGATCTATCGTAAGTCACACTCGTAAGTCGTGCCTGATTTTTTAAAGTCTCCGCGTGGGTGGATGGTGGGTGCTCTGGTGTGGTTTGCCCATTCTTTCCAATTAAACATCTTTCTTTTTGTTTGTTGTTACTCTTTTGTAACACTGCTAATCTTCGGCGGGGGGCTCTCGTGGCCTAGAGGTAGGTGTTCGCCTTTCATTCAATAGGCCCGGGATTCGAATCAGGATACCGACGGAAACATTTTTCTCTAAAACTTTCTCCTTTCACATCCTTTCCTGCTCTCTAACAATGTTCTGTAGTCTGCTTTCGTCTCCACTTTCTGCCCCCTCCCCCTCACCCCCTTTGCCCCCTCCTCTGGGCTCCTGACTCTTTCTACAGCCTTTCTACTCATACTCCTTGGCTCCTTCTTACTGCTGTCTTTCAGCCACACCCGTGATCTTATGGTAGGTAAGATCTACACCTAGCCTTCTCGGACAAGGGTGAAAAATCTCGGAGGTCCCGTGTGCAAGTTGCGCACGTCAAAGATCCCGTGGACTTCGGCCGCCATCCGGTCAAAATTCAAAATTTCCTATCAACTGAAAATGTTTGGTGTGTCCCGCGCGCTCATATTATTATGACCTTATGCAGTTGCGAGCGCCGTAAAACACTTACCAAAAAGTGAACTCTCCACTAAAAGTGAGCTTGTTCGATTTTTTAAAAATCTGTTGTTTTTTACAATATCATTAACACTTTGTGTCTCTTTGGTTTCAGTCCACAGATTGGTACTCCTGCCTTCCCCTTACACGTTTTCCTTGTTCCTACCAAAGCCGGGGTCTGAGTCGGTGTCTCTTCCGTGGTTCGCCATGCCAAGGTAAGCCTGTCAATCTTATACTGGGTGCTCGTTATACCCAGTGCCCACGATCGGTTCGGTCCGGTTCGGTTTGGTAGGCGGGGCTTGCCAGATTGGGGGCGCAAAGCGACTATCATGGCACAAATCGATCGCCCGACTCGCGACCTCCAAAACTTGGGCAGCTCTTCTAAATCATTGTTGTATACATGTAGTTGATGCGCCTCAAGTTGACGCAAAGAAAACTAGTGGCTAGGGGAAATGGGAGAAACTTGTCCATGTTATGACGCACGTTCTGCATGGGAGTTGGATCGTGGTTCTGTCTCCTCCTTCAGCAACGAAGCGTCAGTTAGCCCCCGTTTTTTAAAAACCCATCCTTTTATATTTTTTGGCGTCTGTTGCTCAAGCGCTACGCTTATACTCGTATGGGATAACAATAATTATTATTATTATTATTATTATTATTATTATTATTATTATTATTATTATTAGTTAAACTCTTCACCTTGAATGCGAAGGACGTGAGTTCTATTCGCATGTGGGTAGTGTAACTTGACGTTAAAGTAGTACCTCTATCTGCTTTCCAAGATGCCGTTTCCCACCCTGGTCTGGGATAGGCCTGACTGACCAGACAAGGTCGAAGCAACTCGCCTCGTGATTGATCTGAAGTGTGTCTATGGTGGTTATAAAATATTTATAACCGATCGATATAACCCTTTGAAGAACTCGCGGAGTTGTAAGGGGCGGTGAGATAGTGGAAGTTGAATGCTGTGGCGACTAGGCGAACATCAGTGTCCTTCACCCCTGGCAGGGTATAGGCCACGGACAAGCGGTTTCCTTCTCGGTCTGTCTTGGACAAGCTTTCACTTACTGATCCAGGTTTTGTCCCATCTTTAACTTATCCTTAGCCATGCAACGTTTCCATGTCTAGGGTGAACGGGTGTCAGGTTTCATTGATTTCATAACGACTGGTGGGGCGTAGGAAGCCTAGTGGACAGGCTGCTGAACCAGTAATCTTGAGATTGCGGGTTGGGGGGTTCGAGCCTCTGCTCGGTCCGACATTGTGTCCTTGGGAAAGGTACTTTACTCGAAATTCCCATTCGGCTCGATCGTTTCGGGGTTAAACATATATACCATTTCACCTGACGGCTGGTAACTGGGTACACGTAGTATGTCCCTGAATGCGTTATGTTCACCTTAGCTCAAACATGGCCACTCGACGCAACTGACATGTGCAATTTTTGCACATACTTATATTTTACGCTTTGAATTTAGGTGTGCCTCAATGTAAACCGACTTTTGTACACGGATAAATGGAGGTCAATGTTCTTTTCATGTAAAAGAAAGATGACATTTTTGGTCGATTTTGCATTTTTATTCTGTTATGTTTGTAACATTGTGAAGGTAATTTAAGAGAACTCTTTGAATTTTATTGAAAGTCCCTTTCTCAATGTGATTGGGATGAGGTCCTAAAACAACCCCAAACTTGCCTTGGTAAGGAACACTTGAGCAATAATTCATGCCCTGGTCAATCGGTCGTTGACATCACTGTTTGATATTGCCCTAATGTTATAATGCTACAGATGGTGGTCTGATGGGTTTTTCTCAATTGAATAACACAAAAGTGATGTTGAAATGAAATGTTTATTTCATAAGTGTTTGTAAACTGAAGTATGTGTTTGACATTTGATTTTTGGTTTTAGAACTCCCGTTAGATTGCAGCAAACTTCCCCTGAGGGCAGCTCAGGGTCACCTTCGAATGCCACCACGAGGAGAAGCGTTTCAAACACCTCCAGACGAAGTGCTGCTAGAACATCGAGGAGTTCCACTCCAGACACATCCAGACAAAGTGCTGCTAGAACATCGAGGAGTTCCACTCCAGACACATCCAGACAACGTGCCTTAAGAACATCGAGGAGAAACCCCTCACACACACCAAGAAGGAGTCATTTAGAAAGACGCCGCAATCAGAGCACGTGCACGGAGCGGGAAGAGGGAGATTTCCCTGACGCTCGAAACAGAAGCGTACGAGAATGTGCCCTGGCGTGGTTAGCAGCAGATGCGGAGAGGAGATGGTCGAACACTGGACTGCAAAATGGCAGCTTCACAAGCTCATCAAGCCGCGAGAATCCACCAACTGCCATCAACAACACGGGCAGAGAGCAGATCCCCAGGCTTTATGAAGGGTCCGGTCCGATTCTTATGTTCAGAGGCATTGAACGTGAATATGAAGAGGACAGCTTTTTCAGCAGGGAGTTTGAGCCACTGTTGAGGAGCTCTCGGAATCCATCGGTGAGTGAGTTGTCTACTACGTATGGGAGGTGAGAATGTGCTTTTAGCTTTGGTTTTACCCCCTCCCCACCCCACTTCTTCTTCACCCCCCCTCCATTACGCATTATTATGTTTCTCTTTCCCTTTTTCTTCTTTTTTGGGGGGTCGGGGGAAGGGGGGGGGGAGTGGCACAATTTTTCACGGATGTTAAAATTTGTGTTAATATCATACAAGGCTCTTTGACCTTTTGTCCAGCTCCATGAAGTGCTCTATAGGTCACGCTGGCTGCATGCATGCTGTGATTTTTTTGTGTATCATCATCCCTTATTTTTCAGTTTATTTTTACAGTTTGTGTTGCATCGAGCAATGCCAATTCTTCACATCAAGTTTTCAAAAACAGATTGTCATTATACATGTATATACGTGAAATTATTGTCTCACTTTTGGTGCTTGTCAAATACATGATAATAACAAAAAGTTACTGGTGGTAGACTGTGGAAGCGCTCATATAACCTTATGCAGTTGTGAGCGCCATAAGACTCTTACTAAAACTAAGAGACACTGGAAAGGTGCTTTAAAGTATGAACAAATATTGCCACTAAGAGATAAATTATATGCTGCTGCTGTTGTTGTTCTTAATCCGGTAGCTTTTGAGCATATAAAGCTATAAACCACATGCAAAGTACATTTTGCTGCCGTTCATGCATCTTGAACTGACCTCGAACATGAGGTCTAAAGTTGATATCTTATCTCAGTCAGGAATTGTGGTCAGTGTCTGCCATTTGTCAGTGTCTGGTGAAGACAAATGCTCCCAGAGTGATGTCCGCTGCAGTGTCTGCCTGTCTTTGTGCTTTTGCCCATAATGGTTATTTAAGAAATGTAACGGTGGGTGGTTGATGGGCGCTCTGGTGTGGTTTGCTCCTTCTTTCCTATCAGACATCTATCGTCCTTATCTCTCCTCCTTTTTTGTGTATGTTACTCACTCTCTTGTAACCCATCTGTTCTTTGGCACTTATATAACCTTATTGATTTGCAAGTGCCGTAAAACTCTTATTTTTACCAAAAGAAATGTTACTGTTATCTCGCTGATTTGCTTTAATCTTTGACTGGGCATTCTGTTGTTGTTTTTCTTTTAACCCAGGGTTCACGCAGGGAGGATGCTGGTAATGAAAATGTGACAAAGCGTAGAAGATGGAACATAATTGGTGCGCTGATAGGCTTTGGGCTGTCCATGGTCAGTTACTCCATGTTTTCAGAAACGTACAGTCAATGGATCTACTTACGCTTCAAAGAAGACATCATGGGGACCAACTTCTCTTCCATCAATTCATCACAGTAAGTACTTCTGTCAGAATGAGTGGAGCCAACAATGTACTGTACTGAACTAACATTGCGTTGCCCAAGTACAACAACCCAGTATCCCATGAAAACAAAATTTTACAGGAGACAGAAAAAACTTTGTCAATTCATTTAACAATGTTTGTTAAAAATTAAAGTCGGAATGTTGCACTGGTGATGTTTATTGAGCTACATGTCTAAAATTTGACCCAAAATCCGCAACGTTATATTTAGTCGAAAAAAGCAAAAAAAGTGTTTTTTGACATATACATAGTGTGGGTTCAGAATTGTTGTACTCAGGCGACGGTAGGTACTTTGACTGCCCACCAAACCTAAATGATTTGTCCACATCAAAGGGATGTAGATTGTTCCCCAAGTTGCTGGTAGTCTTGTTTAGGACCACTGCTTGAGTGCGTTGTACTTTAACTTGTATAGATTTAAGAGGCTTGAGTTATGGTTATTTGACCTAGCTTAGTTTTGCTGGTTTTGTGAGAAAGAAAATGACGTTTGTTGCTGTTTTATGGATCTCTTTCCTCTTTTAAGGTACCCTAACCGCAAACTGCCGTATTGAAAGTACATTTAGTGTGTTTCTAGATTGTACTTGCAGCACAAACGCTATACGATACGGGTGAACTCTTTTGTCAAATGAGATAAATAGTAAAAAACAGTTAATTGTGTCTAACGTAACATGGTTTGACATTTGAACTATCTTTATGACTATTCTAATTAATTATTGTAAGCATTAATCATGCTTTTAACCAACATGAATTTGGTCACATGTTTTGGTAGCTTGTAACAGATAAGACTGGAAGCTAGTTTTGGGTTTAGTACCCCATGTAGTTGACTACTGTTGATGCTTTGCTTTAATGCTTCTGTACTCTTCTGAGGAAAATGGGTTTGAAAATATGTTTTTAGGATAGCAACTTATTGCGGAATATGTGACATGTTTATATAGCTCTTCAGTAGTTTTGTTAACGGTATCCTGGTGAACTATTCACTCCCTCTTTTGGTCTCTACAGATCACAAATACCTACGGTAGGATGTATTCTTAAAAGTAGTGAATATTAAAAAATGTATTATTTTTTAAAAAGATTTACTCTTGTCATCTCTTTTTGTGTCTTACTTCATGCCACTGCTGGTGGTTTATAAGGAATTATTTGGTGTGTTACTTTTTCTGTCCCCAGTGCCCTACACCCATGTGCGTCAGGTCAGAACAACTCAGCATTCTCAGGCTCGGACTTAGACCGTGCTCAGTCAGAGGCCTCGTCGTTCATGTCATGGTCCTTGATAGTGCTCCTGGTGCCCGCCTTCTTCAGCTGCATTTTCATGGGGGCTTTTTCAAACAAGTTGGGCAGGAGAATGCTCTTCATAATACCCGCAGCAGGTAACTCATTTTTGGAGATGTGGCTGATTTATTTTGTCATGTTGCAGATGAAAAGTTATGGAGATGAAGGCATTGACTTTTAGAATATTTGTCCTTCATCATGTCGGTGCTAGATCTCAGTAGAAATCTAGAAGCTCTTCCAGAAAAAATGTTACAAAAATTTGATTTTTTTCAGCCTGTAAAACAGGATCAAGCAGAGTTCCTCCCTGTCCTGACAACCTATTCTTTGGCACTTATATAACCTAATTGAGTTGCAAGTGCCGTAAAACTCTTACTAAAAGAAATGTTACTGTTATCTTGCTGATTTGCCTTAATCTTTGACTGGCAATTCTGTTGTTAATTGTTATTCTTTTAACCCAGGGTTCACGCAGGGAGGATACTGGTGATGAAAATATGACAAAGCGTAGAAGATGGAACATAATTGGTGGGCTGATAGGCTTTGGGCTGTCCATGGTCAGTTACTCCATTTTTTCAGAAACGTACAGTCAGCACGTTTTATGCATTACTGAATTGAATACAATGTATGCCGGTACTGGGATTATTTGTTCTTTTCTGACTTAAGAGTTCTAAAGATAAGGAAAAATTACACTTGCTTGTGACAATGAAATTTTAAACTCCCCTAGTGTGAGTGATATGCTCATCACATGGACATCATAGAAAAAATACAGGTAACAGTTGTGTGGTAGCCTGATTTCTTTCAATATTAACGCTGTTCTTATAATGAGCATCAATCATGTTGAAGAAACACACTTGTATTGTTTTAATGGAATACTATGGGGTTTTGATTCTGGTGATCAACATGGAGAGATCCTAAACACCTGACCTAATAAGTGGTGTACAATGACATACAAGGCGAAATGCTTGGCCACTAAATCCTATGCAGTATATCTGTGGTGGAGCGGTTAGACACTTTATGGTCGCTTCAAGGAGACCCCTGTTCGATTCCCGAATGAGGATAGTTTTTATTGTGCATCTTAGTCTTTCTACTAGGATGTTGTATCCCTCTCACCCTGGGTTGGTTGTCGCAGTCAGGGCCGGAAGCCTGCCTCTTAAATGATCTAAATTGTGTCAATGATGACGTAAAAAACACCTTCATTTTTAAAAGAAAAGTCCTATGGCTATGTTCTCTCTCCTGAAGAAAAGTCCTATGGCTATGTTATCTCTCCTATTGTACCAGGTTTTGCGGTGCGAGTGGCAGTCACCTGCTCCGTGGCCTACTGGCACCTGAACATCAACTTCCTGTACATCGGCGTAGCGGTGAGCGGAGCTTGTGGGAGCATGGTGGCCATGTTCATGGCTCTCTACATGTACCTGGCCGACAACACAGGGGAGAGCAAGAGCAGATCCTACACCATGGTCATTGCTTCGGTATGGTAGCCGCGTCTTGTTCTTGTGGCGTTGAAATTACCTGCGCTAATGGCCACCCGTATAACACAATCCCCTGAACAAACTGTGGCCACTTCCCATTTCCACCATTTTGTATTTTTTAGATTATAATGACACTGTAAATAGGTCTATGGTGTGGTCACAGTGTCTTGTTCTTGTATCATTGAAATTACAGTTGGACCTGTTCTAACGGCTACAAGTATAAGACAATTACCTGCACAAACGACTGCCACTTCCTATTTCCCTTGTGTATTTTTTACATTAAAATGACTCTGTATAAGGTGGTCTCCTTTCTCCTCGATAGTGGGTGGCAGTCTCAGACAGTTTCGATTGTTTCTTTACTTTAGGGACTAAAAAGTGGATGAAAAATGAAAGGTTGACCTCTACTGATGAGCTCATGACAACTGGCTATTATTTAAGTACTCAGTGTGATGGGCTATAACATACAGATATTCAATTGATTACTATGGTTCTTACTGCAATTGTCATTCACAGCGGTACTCGCTGCAACTGGCGTTTACTGAGGTGCTCAATCTTCATTTACCAATACCCCCAGTGGGTCGGGGGGATATAAATAGACCCACTGCTTCGTCTGCAGAAGGTGCAACCCCTTCAAAGGCGAGCTCTCTCTCCCCCCCCCTCTCTCTCTGAGGCCAGCCAAGAACATGGATAATAATACCATCAACTGTCTCTGCTGTCCCGAGGTTGGCATCACAAAGTGTGGGTTCAAGGTCTGAGGGCGTGCATATTCGGTGATATTGGCAAACAAACGTTCTTATTTGTCGATGTGAGACGACAGCCGTCTCCTCCTCGTTCCAAGTCGATGGGGGTGTCAGAAACACTTACTTTAACATGTATTTTTTTCTGGATGCATTTTTATTTTTTATCCACATTGGCAGGTACCCCGTCACCCCCTCCCCAAATAAAAACACACACAAAAAACCCAAAACGTTTCTTTTTTAATCAAGTTTTTTTTTTCGTGTGGTTGGCGGGGCTCTGATTTTGTCTGCTTTCTTCTTTCCTATCAAACATGATTTGTCGTCTTTATGTCTCTTTTTTTGTGTTACTTTCCTCTCGTAACATCTATAATCTTCCGGTATGACCTAATTTGTGTTGCAAGTGCCATTATACCAAAGATTCTCTACTGAACAGTTGGGAATCTTTGGTAATACTATAACCAAAACAAGAGTTTATTCGCCAGCAGTTGCAAATATAGGCCATGGTCCGAGAACGTCATCACCGCATGCCGCATGGCAATGAGTAATGTAAGCAAAGTGGCTCCCCTCACGTGATGTAAGGTTCATTGACTTGTAATCCTATGCCTGGTGGCTGGTGCGCAAGGTTGACTTTTAACAGCTTTTGCAGCCTTATTTTTGGACAGGGTTCCGTCTGGAGTGCTGCTTTCCTTACCATTTTTCTGCACGCCATACCGCCATAATCGTCAATGACTACGAGTATTTCTTGGGTGGTCTGGCCTGATCTGTCTTACTTCTTTGTCTGTGTTACTATTGTTCTCATGGGTGGTTGGAGGGCGCTGTTGTTATACAATCCTACTTCTTTACTTTCCCTCTGTAGTTTCTGTCTGTCTGTCGTACTTTCCCCCTTGCTATAGATAGCCAGCACTGTATACACCTCTAATCTTCGGCACTTCTATGACCATATTATTGTGTTGCAAGTGCTCTTGGGAAGGGGG